TCACTGGGAGTAGCCACACGGTGCAGGAATGACACAGTGCAGAGATCCTTTAATCAGAGCCAGGCCATGACCGTAACTCATCCAAGGAACAGGACTGCACCACGGTGGACTCAGTAGCACAGACCTGAAAGGTGCCCAGCTGCATGTGTATGGCCGTAGATCTGAGGGAGAAACTCAGAGCAGAAGTTATGTGCAGTCAGTTTGGCTTCCAGCTCCCAGGCTGGACATGCCACGTATTTGTATGTGGAGTTACAGGCAAGTATATTTTTAATATGCTCGGAACAAGCTATGGCTCTAGTTGCTGGGGCTCTCTGCAGATAACCCCACCATATCCAGTCATTTCTACAGTAGCTCCTGAAGTCTGTGTATAGGTAGCCAGCCTACGCAGTTCTCTGTGTAGCACCTGGTCTGCCTGGAGAAAGGATGTAAACACCTCTTGTCTTCAGCAAGTAGGAAATGTCCCAAAGCATCTATTTTTACCAGAATGAAGTTGAGTTGCCATGTTACAGTTGAAACAAAGAGTAATTAGCAATTCATTGAAAAGATACAAGAAAAGAAATCGTACAAAGGGGAGTCCTTGCCGCTATCTCACTTTCCTGATTCTTATCTTTTACTTCCTATTTCTGGCTTTTCATTTTGGACTTTGCAGCTCAGCTTCCTTTCGGTGTTTCCCTTTGAATCTTTGCTTCTCGTATAGCATTGTGCTTATGGCTTTTTTGTAAAGGAAGCCTGGGAAAAGGTTGGATCATTCAGGAATGTACGGTAATGTATTTTTAGTTTAGGGACTGCCTTTTGGAAATGAGCAACAAGGGTCATGCATTAAACCTTTTCCTATGTTTTAAGAGATATTAATGCTTCCTGCTTATCCTGACTTTACATGTTCAAAAGAATGGATAATGACAGTGGCCAGAATGCCTAAGTTCAGAAGAATTAAAGTGAATGATACTCTATCTAAAGAGTAAAATGAGCAAAGCCTAATGAATAGACTGCTCCTGTGTATCAGTACAGATTAATCATGTTTCATGACGTATGTAATTTCATGGGCATCTTTAACAGGTGGGGTCAAACTTTTCAGAGGGCATAAATACAACCTCAAGGGCCCCATGCAAGGTGCTTTGAGAAATGGATTATTTGCAAAGGACTAGAAAATTCATGCTCTGATGTATTCAACTGGAAACACAGTTCACAGCTCACAGATACTAAACCAGTGATTGCTCAGTTCCCTGTAAAGTGTGGAACCTAAGGGTTGGAACCTTTTCTCCTTCTAGAAGGAATGTCAAGCATTATATATGGTGATGTAATTATGATGTAAACTGGCACCAAGACAATTTATACTGTAAATTTGGAAAAAAAAAATTAGCACTGATCTGATCTGATCCGATCCAGAATATCTTCCACATTCAAAGTATATTTATACCACAAGTTAAATGATGGTGCCAGATTTTCTGCTGTTGATAGTGGGGGAAGCTTCATTAATTCCTGTTGCACCAGTTTTCAAGGGAGAGCTTAGTTCAGGGCTTTACAGGATCAAGCTGTTCATTGGAAAGAAAAGCTTAATGGATTTGACAGGTAAAACAACAAAGAAACATTAAAATCAAAGGGAGTGACATTGGATTTATTTCACTACTTAATCGGTGGACACTGTGGAAGAACATAGTATCATTATTTCCTCCATGATACTCATGTATAAGCCAGACCTCTATCTGTTCATATTGTTTTCTTCCATTACATGTATTTTTTAATCCATTGTAATAATTTACTTTGGCTTCTAGCTCCAAGCATAGAATACAGTTTCCATCTTATTCCAAATAATATTGGCTAGTTGCTAGGGGAGTGTGCTGATTTCTTTTACGATTTCTTTTCCTCACCACATCTGTGTGTAATTTTTTTTATTTATCATCTCCCTAGGACATTTTCCCTGTGAGAAACCCAAACGTGAAATGCAGCCCTTTCAGATCTTGTTTCATGTTTTATACAAGGAGCATTTCCTAAATATATTTACAGTACAGGATTTTACCAGCTGGTGTTTACTACCAGGCATAAACGCCTAAATGCATGTGTGGATGGGTCTGCACACTTATCTGTTATCTCCTCTGAGTAAGCAAGCAGGTATGAATTTAAGGGCAGGTGTGAATTAACTTACGGGAGATTTAAGGGAGGGACTTAAGGGAGAGCCTTCCTGCTCCTTACTGCTGCAGACCTGTGAAGTCTCATGCACTAAGTATACAACATGCTTCTTTGGGCTATTGCACCCTTGTGAGCAGATTTGGCCAGCCTGAAATGGTTACTGCCCTTAGCTGTGCTCCCTGGGCCTCTGATCACACTTAGCCTCTTTCTCCCGCTGAGGGACTGCCCAGTGGGATTTTCATAGGCTCCTCAGCCCCACAGGTTACAGCCTCACCTATTAATATAAACCAGTGTCAGTTTTAGTTGATGCTAATGCCAGCAGAAATGGGCAGTGGTTTACATTGCTCACCTGAACTATGGGGGAGACGTTGGGTGGTTGTTTTTTTTTTTTTTAAAACAGGCTTTTGCCATGTTGTAGTTGTGATGGGGTCAGGGATAGCACATCCATTTCTACTTTATCTGCTCATTATAACCTTGCACTTCTGTTCCTTCTTGGTTTTTAGCTGCAATCTTCACTTCCATGTTTGAAGTATTCCTTTCACTTCCCAGAGGATAGTTGCATTGGATTTTGAAGATTAAGTTGTCTATTACTGCTAATTGCTGTCACCTCATGGCTACCAATAGTACTTTGGCAGTTCATATGAAACTTCAACATAATGCTTTAATTTTTACACTTTAAATCCACTGATTGGTCCAAGATTACATGTGAAGACAAGCATGAGCTAGTGCATGTAAACATCTGCCAGCTGGCAACTGTGATTAGAAGAACTGTATTTTGAGTAAGTATATACCATATAAGATGGATGCCTGCAAATATTTGCCTGAGTGTAGTCTCCCTTTGAAATGCATTAAACGTAATTGCTTCTCTTCTCTTCTCTTCTCTTCTCTTCTCTTCTCTTCTCTTCTCTTCTCTTCTCTTCTCTTCTCTTCTCTTCTCTTCTCTTCTCTTCTCTTCTCTTCTCTTCTCTTCTCTTCTCTTCTCTTCTCTTCTCTTCTCTTCTCTTCTCTTCTCTTCTCTTCTCTTCTCTTCTCTTCTCTTCTCTTCTCTTCTCTTCTCTTCTCTTCTCTTCTCTTCTCTTCTCTTCTCTTCTCTTCTCTTCTCTTCTCTTCTCTTCTCTTCTCTTCTCTTCTCTTCTCTTCTCTTCTCTTCTCTTCTCTTCTCTTCTCTTCTCTTCTCTTCTCTTCTCTTCTCTTCTCTTCTCTTCTCTTCTCTTCTCTTCTCTTCTCTTCTCCTCTTCTCTTCTCTTCTCTTCTCTTCTCTTCTCTTCTCTTCTCCTCTCCTCTCCTCTCCTCTCCTCTCCTCTCCTCTCCTCTCCTCTCCTCTCCCTCGCCCTCTCCTCTCTTATGCTATCCAAGTTCTTATACCCACAAATACCAGAAGTATATGAACAACCTACCCAAATGCAACATACAGTACGTTGGTTTTCTCACCTTCTTCACAAGAGAAGAGTAAAGTATTTTGTTTTGGATCTATCAGTTCACGTTTGTATTCATGAAGAAAAGGCTTTCCTGCTTTCCTGTATTTCCAGCATAGCCCTTCATTTTATTTGGCAGCCTATGGGCAGTGTCCTCAGCCCACTCAAGACACAGGATTCCCAAATGGCAAGCTGGTCATGTACAAGTTAGATGGATTCAGTTCCCACTAACATCAGTGGCAGCAGCTTTTGGTATTAAGAGATTTATTTATGGCTAGCTTTATTCCTTTTTTCCTTTCCTGTAGATCTTTCTTTAGAGCAGAAATTTCCGTCTCTCTGGTGGCTCATCTGTTTCACTGAACTCTTCGGTTGTTTGCTGTTTTTTGTCAAGGCTCTGGCAGTGTGAAAAAAAGTCAAGGGAAATTGAGACTTATTTTCTCTTTATTTACACTGATTTCATTGAGGAACAACACCAGGGCACCCCATAGAGTTTAATCAGAAGTGGTGTAAGAGGGAGGAGAATCAGCCCCCCCAGATCCACATTAGGGCTGTGCAGACGGTGCTGGTGATGGATGGGGATTTCCCCCTTTGGTTGTGAGGTCGGGGCAGCTCATTGATCATTCTCCTGAACTTCCTGCGGAAGATCCCACAAAATGCTGTTTTCTGTCTGACCTGGTTTTTGTTCTAGCAGTAATCTTTGAATGAAATATGTAATTCATCTCCACCTAAATACTGATTAAAAAGTACCATTTCAATGCAGGCAGGAAAAACACTACTGAAACATCTGAGCTTGGCTGTTAAATGGCATGATCTCACTTTGTTCCTTAAAGTAACTGTCCACGTCCCCTCTAAGGGGAAGGCAAAGATGTATTCTTTTAAAGATTATTCTTTCAGGAGTGAGATGATTCAGTGTGATTTTCTTCTGGCCCCATGAGCTGTGTTAGTGAGGCAGAGCTGTCCTCTCAGCAGTGTGCCCAGCGTTGGAGTGATCCCTGTCCTGCAGGAAGGTATGCAACATACTCAGGGCTGGGTTGGTTTTTTTTTTTTTGGTTGTGTGTGTGGGTTTTGTTTTTTTTTTTCTTTTGGCAGACGTCCTTGAGCATTTGAGACGGATGTGAGAGAGTTTTTAGTCCTCATGCAAAACAACCAACTAAACATAACAGATTACATCAGCTCAGGCTTTTCAATTCCTGGATGGCAGCAGAGTGCTAATCCAACCTTCATCCTGGATTTCATAAACTGAAACAAGGGAGGCTGGCAGGAGCAGCGCTGCCGGATTGAGGAAGCTGACGACGGTGCAGCATGTGGGCAACACACTGTATAAAGCTCATAAACTTGTAGGCTGATGTGTGCAGCTACCACTTTGGATTCTGTACTGCTGCTTCCCTCAGCACAAGGCACCAGCAGGCTGAGCATTAAAGCCTGCTTTTTGGGACGGAGCATTTATCCCTGCAAGACATGAAGGGCTTCCTGTTTCTCACACTCCTCCTGATGCCCGTGCACGCTGGAACTGCTTGGAGTGCGAAATATGCAGTAGATTGTCCCGAGCCCTGTGACAGTAACGCATGCAAAAGTACCTTGCGCTGTAAGCGAACGGTGCTGGATGACTGTGGCTGTTGCAGAGTGTGTGCAGCTGCTCTGGGGGAGACTTGCTATCGTACGGTCTCGGGTATGGATGGTGTCAAGTGTGGTCCTGGGCTGAAGTGCCAGTTTTACACTGAGGAGGATGACTTTGGTGATGAATTTGGTATCTGCAAAGGTAACAATATTCACTTTGCATGCACCCACTGTGGCAATTTGACAGCAACGTACATATAGAGCTTGCCTCCTGCTTGAAAGGTCTAAAATGGGATTTTTCCAGCTCAGCCCTTAGCCAAGAAGAAAGTGAAAAATATGTGCTGATATTAAAAAGTGTTACATGTAGGCAGGACAGGGTTATTAATATGAGAATACTGTTTAGACCTGGGGACATGTGTGAGGAAATATGGATGGGCTGTGCTCAGAGATGAGATTTTTGATTGACCCAGGCACTAGTCCTGATCCTTCCGCTGATTTGGTGGGTGGATTTCTATAAATTGCAAAGACTTTAATCCTGTGAGTCCAACCTTATCACAGGGTTCCTGCCCCTGCCGGGCTCTCCCTGGGGTGAGGTTCCCCTGCCTGCCCAGGGACCAGGTGTTCTCTCTGGAGTCTGGGGGATGGAGATAACAGCACTGCCTGAGTGTCTGGGGATGTTGTCATGTTTAATTCAGTCCTGCCTTTGAGGTGCTCAGCTACCCTAGGGATGTGGTCAGGGGAGGCAAACACAGACCCTACCTGAAAGATGGGAATAACAGAACAGGAGCTGACTGTGAGATGAGCAGCCAGCCACTGCTCTCAGCTTATTCCAGGTATGCTATATGCTGATTTCTTGAGTCATAGACTATACTGGCATTTTTCATTTAAGAGCTATCTTCACTCCATGCAAAAAGTAGAATCTTTAAAAGGAGAGGAGGTATTTTATTACTAAGAAGTAGGATGAAAGTTTTTAAAATAAACTACTTTAAAAAAAGGCTTTGCATAGTACGGATGCAGTGAGTTTTCCTGTATTTGTGTACCACTTCAGTAAGTAGATACAGGTATGCTTTTGAATAACTTCCTTTAAAATGGAGATGTCCTGGCAGTTAAACATCAGGAGTATTAATAACCTCAGTTAAAATGATGACTTAGGACCAGATGCTGCAAAAATCATTCAGGCTGACTCACATACAGCACACGCTTATTTACATTGGTATTTAAATCCAAATTCATGTTCATGTTTGAGGGTGAAACCCAAAATACTAGTTTTATTTCTAAAGTCTAGAATTTACTCATAAAGATAATATCTTTGGTGCACCCACCAGAAAAATATTTTACTGAGATAGTTGACTGATCTTCAGTTTATTAACTGGTATCTGCAGTGCAAGATACCACCTATAATGCTTTTAACAGTTCTTTTGAATGATTAGATCCTTTTCACTGTCCTCATAGGAGTTTCTTTGCAATAGCATGCTTCAAAGGGGAAAAAAGAAACACTGAGGGCCATGAGATCTGAATCCCTGTGGCTGAATCTTGGAAGCTCTGTAGAAAATGTAAAGTAAAATGTTTTTTTTTCCAGTGAGTCAGTGGAGAAACTCTCACTAATTTCAATAAAGCCATATCTTGACTTAGAGTTGTAAAACGGTATTTAAGGCTTGTATTTCCCATCTGTTTATTTGCACTAAATATTACAGATGTCATTTCTTTTTCTTTTTTCATCTCAGCTCTGAGATAGTACAATCTCTTTCTGTATGTATGTGAATTTTATCAGGCTAAGTATGGGGCCAAATATTGTTATTTTATACATACCTGTATAGCTATGATACCAGATCACTCACTCATTTTAATAACTTCCATGTTTGTAATAATACACAGAGTCAGGATGGCTAAATTCTCTCTGGTTGCCTGTGACTGGTTTACTTTGAAGTTGTTGAAAAATGACCTGAACTCTCTGTTCTTAAATTTCTTGTTTCTAAAATGGGTAAAACATGGACATCATATGTTTCAGAACAATTTTTTGAGGACTTCTAGCATTATAAGAGTGCATCATATTATTATCAGTAGCAATGTCATTATTGTTCAAAACAGACTAAGGAATACTGGTGCTCTGCACTTTTATTAATAAATATCCTCTAAACCTGAGGTATAACTGTCATAGTAAAGAACCTGCTCTTGCTTCTCTTAGATCACTGGGAGCTATTTGCAATTTATTTAGGAGCAGGAT